GTTATATAGTATTAAAATGATTTGGTATATAAATAAGTAAAGTAAATAAGGTTTAGAAACTCAAACTTAGTATTTAATTAGAGAATATGCTTAGTAATACTGTATACTCGTATATGGTGTATACAGAAATTTTTTACTTATGGTATACACATACACACATAAATATATGCTTGTACTTTCTGCTAAAATTTTCTCTTACAATACAGTGTGTAAGTGTATACACTGCAGGTGTATCTGTAAATTATGCTATGGTGCAGAGCACTAGTTGCTCATCATTGCTGCAAATCACCAACTCAAGTAGAAGATCTCCACAATGGTTGAAGTTGAATTGAACACGGGGTGCGTGACATAGTATTCAAACACTTCTGTCTGTATACCAAACCAAGTGCCTTCTAGCACCTTCCTCACTTCATTCACAAGCTCCGTCAGGTCAATCAATCCTGGGAAGACTGTCTTGAGCTGCTTGATCAACTCTGCTTGTGTATCACCTTCTGGACTACTGGGACAAGCCATAGAAGAGCTGAAATATGGAATAACCTGAAATGGTAATAGCTGGATCGCCAGACCAGACTCAGAAGAGATAAAAGAAATTGTTGCAGCCCATGTCACTGTTGTTTGAGAGCTGTAAAAAACCGAATCAACTAAGGAAATAGTGCGTATGTTGAATTTTTATACCTCCAATCCTTTCCAGGATCTCCACAGCTATACTCCAGCTCGATTTCGACAGTACCATGTAACTGAATGTCACAATCGCCCATGTGCTTGGTTGGAATGACCAAAGTGTTACGAGTGATACCTAAACATTGAGTGAGTCCTTTGTACAGGAGCTTATGAAAAGTTGTACTTACATCTCATTGAGTAGAGTATTTCCTCATCAAAGTCGTTCTTGTAATTCCACATATCTTTATTCCGCCATGCAAATTGAAGGTGGTCCATACTGCTGTCCTGCATTGTAACGTCTCGCCAGACACAACGCTTACCCTTCTTTGCCTTGTGGTTATCCCATTCGACAAGATCAAAAATCCACTTCTTGTCAGTAACTCCCCAGAACTCTGGAACCATTGTCGTCTGATGATTAATTCGCTCAAGATACTTGAGCAGAATACCCTCCAGGAACGAACTGTGCGAAATATACACGGTACCGAGTGGGACGTCCTTTCCAATGCTCAAGACCCAGTTGACTCCTTTCAGCAGTTCTGCGCCTTTCGGGATAGCCTGGGTGCCTGTCATACCCATGATGATGATAGCGTTGCGATTGCATAAGAGCCTTTATTGTGTCCACGCAAAAATGGAGCAGAGTCGAACTGCGGCGAAGGGAATATCTGATACTGAAGATGTCCTCCAGATGTCTTCTGCGGGAAAGTATACAGGACATGATGGCATTCGCGTTCAAAGAGCTTGAAGTAATATTCTTTGATGTAGTAAACAAGGTCCTTTGTGTGGCTGGAAATTGTGGACTGTCCTTCAATGTATTTTGCAGCTAGGAAATCTCGTCATTACAATGACTAAATTAAAGAAAGATTTCGAATGCTTACAAGATACGGAAAGTACTAGCTGTTTATTCCCTTTTGGTTCCTGGAGTCTGAGTCGTCTGAGCAGGGTAGTAGAAACAGTTCTACTGGTTGAATCAACCATTTCTAATCCCATTTTAAATGCAGCTCTCGATTTCGAGAAGTGGTGTCTAACAGAGCCATGAAATTCTAGGTCAGCACAACTTATACCATACTAATGTAAGTATTACTTACTCTGGCAATAGACTTCCTTCGTCGTCTAATGGACTCAGGTGACCACTCTCAAGTTCAAGGTAGAGTATCACTGCAGGACGGCCTTCCTTGTGGACAAGTTCAACCTTTGGAGCAGAAAATTGTGCTTCGAAAAGGATTTCATCCCTTTTTTCAGGATGAGTTACAGCAAAATATGTAAGGCATGAGTGTTTTTCAAATTCTGCCGTTCTAGCCGTCGCTGATATTGCTCTGTTGGGAACAATTCTACGAGCATATTCCCAACATGAATTGAAGTGAGAATTTATGGCTCCAGTTGTAAGCGCAGCGATGATACTGAATGGTCCTGTATGTGTATGAAGCAAAATCTCCTTCTGTATAGCCTCCTCGTCCTTCTTGGTAATAGGAGGAACTCGAGAGTCGGGGTGCCTCTGTATAATAGGCACCGGTGGTGACGGCTCTGGTTGTGGCGGCCTTTCTTTTGGCGACTCTGGTCTCGGAGATTCTGGCAGTGTTGGCTCTTCTTCTGGTGGCTCTGGTTTTGGAGGCTCTGAAGGAACTCTGGGGAACACCCGGCGTTGCCGCACAGGAGGTTTCCGCTGCCGTGAGATGTGTTTCACTACATCTTTCCACTGCTTCTTGTTAAGAAAGGGGAAAGAGGTTATGTGAGAGGCTTAGAGGGATCACACAAAAAGGGGGGATAGTGGACTCGGCTTGCTCTCTCGCGGCTTGCTTCATTGTCCGTTGATTAGTTAGTCTATATATACTATGTAGGTATGTCTCAGATGTAGAATGTATGATGGAAGGTATTCCATCATCGTTCATCATTGCTTGTAATGTAGTTTATATCATCTGAGACATACTCTCGTGTAGTCTCGTCTTAACACTCCCCTTCAAACTCTTACTAGGTCTAGTAGACTTGTAAGATGTTTGCTTGCAGTATGTATAGATGGTTTAATCATTATAACTGCATTGTACAATTGTTCGTTTGTGTAATGCATTTATAACTTGATGTAGTTAATAATAATATTATTAGCATTATAGTAATGCATTGTCTGTTCCATGTACTGTCTGTTCTGAATGTCATCCACTTTGTGTTAAGTTTGTCCAATGTTATATTGTTTAAGTATATTTAATTAGTTTGTTCGTTCATAATATACTGTTCAATAACAGTATTGTTATTGTAATAGATTGTTTGTAAATGTTATTAAATAATTTGTAAATGCTTCAGAGACCTGCAGAATCTTGTTAGCATGTGTAGGTACATATATGCACATATTTAAATCATAAATGCAATTGCTCGTTTTGTTTTATTGTTTGTTATTCAGACACATTGTTTGTTATTAAGTTTGTTTGAGTACTCTAGTAATTTCCCTTTACTTCACTGTGAAACTAATGAATCACACTAGTAAAATGTATATTTGATGTTGCAATAATATCCTTCTTTAATCATTACTGTC